GGTAAGAGGGGAACAGGGTGCGGACGGTTGGTTTGGGTTCGGATTGGAATGCGGACAGGGTGAGCTTTGGGTTGCATACGGGTGAGGACTTAACATTCCGCCCACCAAATTCTGTATGAGAATTTTAAGTAAGGGTATGTGAACATAGAGTAATGAGTTGACTAAAACGAGGTGAGGTTATATACACGCGGACTTGATATTACTGTGAGGGCAAAGCGCACAGTTTTATCAAAGGTCGTTTGAAAGTCCCTTGAGAAGTGCGTACGGTTGCGACACGGGCGATTCCGTCGCTGCCGGGGTGAAGGTCGACAATTCGGCCAAGCCTCCATTTGAGAGGTGGAGCCGTATTATCCTTAATTAAAACCAGGGTGCCTACGTTGGTTGGTTTAAACGACTGATACTGGGACCATTTGCTTCTCTGATATAGGTTATGTAAATACTCATTTTTCCAGCGTGACCAAAACGCTTGGTGCATTCGCTGTATTAGCTGCCACCGCGAGAGTCGATTTAGGGACAAATGAGACAGATCTGGGTCAGGCACGGAGGTCAGCGGTTCCATTGTTAGCAAGTGTCCGGGTGTTAACACGCTAAGATCATTGGGATCAGAGCTTAGACTACAAAGCGGCCGTGAGTTCAGTAGAGATTCAATTTGAATGAGTAACGTATTCAACTCTTCGTATGTTAGAACCTGATTCCCGATCACACGAGAGAGATGGGTTTTCACGGATTTGACTCCGCTTTCCCACAGTCCACCGAAGTGTGGAGCGGATGGAGGGTTGAAGTTCCATGTAATGGTTTCCGCCTCAACGGAAAGCTTCATGTATTTGGTTAGTTCGCGATTTGCACCGATGAAGTTGGAGCCACAGTCGGAGAATATCCGAGAGCAGCGTCCGCGACGGGCTATGAATCGCCTCAAAGCACCGATAAAGGCGTCCGTTGATAGGTCAGAGGCCAACTCTAGGTGGATGGCCTTAGTGGCGAAACATATAAACAGGCATAGATATGCTTTTCGAGCCTTTGCACCGCGAGCTTTTCCTAACGTGATTGGGAAGGGACCGGCATAATCGACTCCAACGCAACTAAAAGGTTTGACTTGCGAGATGCGTGTTTGTGGAAGGTTTCCCATCGGAGGGGCATAGGAGCTTGGGTGATTTCTAAAACACTGATTACACGTTGACAAGTAATGTCGAATGGCTCGACGCGCTGATAGAACCCAAAAGTTTTGTTGAAGTAAATACATGGTAGTGTTGATTCCAGGGTGGAAATTGTCACTATGAACTTGCCGAATAATTAGTTCCGTGAGACGATGTTTACGTGGAAGGAGGGCTGGATGTTTGGCCGAGAACGATAAATCTGAGTGTGACAGTCTGCCTCCAACACGTAGGATTCCATTGTCATCCAAGAAGGGAGCAAGGTGTTGGAATTGTTTTGGATATTTCCGGTTGTTGCGAATAGCCGAAATCTCATGGGAAAAGGATTCAGCTTGCACCACTTTTACGAGACGGAGTAAGGCTTGGTGTCGTTCTGAGGCGGACAACGGTCCACTGGCCTCGTTTTGAGATTTGAGCTTGGTTATGAAACGANAGTGTTGATTCCAGGGTGGAAATTGTCACTATGAACTTGCCGAATAATTAGTTCCGTGAGACGATGTTTACGTGGAAGGAGGGCTGGATGTTTGGCCGAGAACGATAAATCTGAGTGTGACAGTCTGCCTCCAACACGTAGGATTCCATTGTCATCCAAGAAGGGAGCAAGGTGTTGGAACTGTTTTGGATATTTCCGGTTGTTGCGAATAGCCGAAATCTCATGGGAAAAGGATTCAGCTTGCACCACTTTTACGAGACGGAGTAAGGCTTGGTGTCGTTCTGAGGCGGACAACGGTCCACTGGCCTCGTTTTGAGATTTGAGCTTGGTTATGAAACGAAGCATGTACGCCAGAATACCTTGGATCTTACGCAATGACGAAAATTGGTTTAGAAGATCTTGGATGTCCGACGGTTGAGATTGTGCCAGAAGGACTACCGATTTCTCTTCCCTTTCCAGCTCCATGCGATGGGCAGTTTGGACTGAATCGGGGGGCCAGTACTCGGGAGGTTGTTGTAGAAAGGTTGGACCCGCCCACCATAGAGAACATGAGAGAACATCACATGGCAGGAGGCCACGAGAGGCTGGATCGGCGGGATTGTCTGCCGATGGAACATAACGCCAACACGAGGGTGCTAGACGTTCTTGTATGAAGGTTGTGCGATTGGCAACGAAACTTTTCCATCGATGAGGCGAAGATCGAATCCAGGTTAGGGCAACCGTGGAATCGCTCCAAGCTACAACTTGGTCGAACGTGAGGGTAGATTGATACGTTGTTAGGACGAAATTGACAAGTTTCGAAAGCAAAACCGCGGCACATAGTTCGAGGCGCGGGATCGATAAGCATTTAAGAGGTGCTACCTTGGACTTTGCTATCACCAAGTGAACGGATACTTGGTTGGTTTGATCGGTGAGGCGAAGATAGATTACACAAGCGTAACCTACTTCTGATGCGTCACAAAATGCGTGTAGCTGGCATGAGTTTGAAGAAGTATTGAGTAATTGGCGAGGAATTCGAAGAGAACCGAGACAAGGTAGCTCCAATTTGTATTGAGACCACACCTTTTGAACATCATCAGGAGGAATGGTATCCCAGTCAATCCCGAGAGTCCATAATCTTTGGAGAAGACGTTTGGCGAAGAGTGTTAGCGGGGATAGGAAACCCATGGGATCATAGATTCGAGCCACTTCAGACAAGATGGAACGTTTGGTACATAACGATTCCCTGGGTGTGACTTTGAAGATGAAGGAGTCCGATGAGGAGTGCCACTGAAGTCCAAGAACTTTGACCGTGGTATTCGAATCACTATCAAAGTTCAGATCTTGTTGTTGCCGGTGAGCAATAGGAATATCCTCTAACACCATGGGGTGATTAGAAGACCATTTTCGCAGCTCAAAGCAACCTGTTTGTAATAGGGCTATGAGTTGGTTACGAAGTTGTAAGACGGTTTCTATGGAAGACGCACCACATACTAGGTCGTCCACATAGATGTCATTTTTGAGAGCAGCAGAGGCAAGGGGGAATGTTTGTTTGCCTTCTTCTGCTAGTTGAAGCAGCGTTCGAATGGCCAAATAGGGGGACGAATTTATGCCGTAGGTAACGGTATTCAACTGATAGGTTTGTATGGGATCAGAGGATCTGAATCGCCATCGAATAAGTTGATATTTTCTATGTTCTGGAATGATCAAAATCTGACGATACATTTGACGAATATCGCATGTAAAGACGACTTCGTGAGTGCGAAACCGAAGTAAGATATTGTTGATGTCCGATTGTAATTTAGGTCCGGGATACAAGGTATCATTTAGGGAGAAGTGGTTGTTTGCCTTGGCCGAAGCATCGAAGACAACCCGAAGTTTTTGTCTATCTCCGTCGGTGGTTAGAACCCCGTGGTGAGGGATGAAGTAAGTTTCATCCCCGTCCGGAAGAGATTGGACGAGCGACATATGGTTCGAGGATAAGTAATCCTGCATGAAGTCGAAGTATAGCGTTTGTAAGGACGAATTTGATTGTAATCGTCGCTCAAGCGCGAGAAATCGACGATCAGCAATCGTGCGAGAATTTTCAAATCGTGGGTAAGGAATCTTGAAAGGCAATAGTACCCCAAACCGACCAGAAGGTGTTCAAAAATGGGTGTTTTGGAAAAGGGTTTCAACGATTTTATCGTCCGGCGATGTAATAGGCTTTGATGGGACCTCCTCGATTTCCCAAAATCTTTTGAGAACAACATCTAGACACGGTTCAACGGTGGTGAAGAAGGATTGAATTTCGGATGGTTTCACACTAGTAATAGGACCTAATATAGCCCAACCGAAGATTGTGTGAATGGCCATGGGTCCTTGGGATTTGTCCTGTATGACATTACGACCAGTGACAATTGTGTGGTATATGTCTGCTCCCAAGAGCATGTGAATGGGACCTGGTTTATCGAGGAGTGGATCAGCTAACTGTAAATCCCTGAAACATTGAATTTGGGACAAGTCAACAGGGTAACTTGGTAGTTGGGAGCAAATACCTTTGAGAATCAGGGCCTCTAGCTCAATGCCAGGTTCCTGGGACCCATGGGGTCGAATATGACAGGTAGTCCTGCCTACTGAGTTGGTGGAAGCTTGACTGAGTCCAAGGATGGAAGTATGATTTGGGAGCCTCTTTAAACCAAGTTGTTTTACAGAGGAGTCGATGATGAATGATGCCTGGGAACCGGGGTCCAACAGGGCACGAATAGTAGAGAAATTCCCCCATTTGTTTTCAATTTCGAAGGATGCGGTTGCTAGTAAGACCGTGGTTTGGGAGGAATTTTTCGAAGATGATACGCTGGTGCAAGCATTGACAGTTGTTGTGGCCATGGGAGATTCTTCTCTTGGGGATGGTTGAGTTTGTGTCCCCAGATTAGAGTCCCCGCCAGAGTTACTTGACTGCGGCTGATTGAAGTGAAGTAGCGAATGATGCTTGAGATTGCAAATTCTGCAAGTATATTGCGAAGGGCAGTTGCTCACGGAATGGGACTGACGTAAGCAGTTGACACATAAGCGTGCTTGTTTGACTGCTTGGAAGCGATCTGTAGGCGATTTTGCCATGAACGTGGGGCACCGAAATAAAAAATGATTCGATTTGCAAAGGGGGCATGATAACGAATTGGTTGAAGATGCCTGGTTAGTATTAGCTACAAATGATCTTGTATGTGAAGATTTTGAAGAGCCATTCTGATTGGCTGTATGCTTCAAGGATCTTTGCGAGGTGGCAGGATTGAATATTTGCTTGGGAGTATCGACTGTTTCTAGCGCGATGCATTGCTTTAAGATAAACTTCTTAACCTCATCATATTTGGGCATGACTGTGGCGTCAGAATCTAATTCAAACCGTTTTCGCGTAGTAGGGTCTAACTTGTCTAAAAGCATGTCTGTTAATACAAAGTCCCAATCTTTAACATTACAACCTAAATTTTCCAAAACTGCGATATTTTCACTGAAAGTGTCGATTAATTGCCGAAGCGCTTTGAAATTGTCTGTTGTTAATGAAGGATAATTTTTTATGGCACGCCAATGGTGCATCGTTAATAGTCTTGTGTTAGAATAGCGTTCGACGAGAGTGTTATATGCTAATTCGTAATTGGCAGCAGTTAAGGGAATTGATTTTACTAATACCAGAGGTTCGCCGGTCAATGATGCAATCAGATACTGGAATTTATTTATTTCCGAAATATAAACGCAGTTATGAACCGAGCTATCGAAAATATCAATAAAGGTTTGCCAACTCTTGAGATCACCCGAGAATTTTATTAATTCCAGCTTGGGTAATCTTATATGTGGCGAAGAGTTAACAGGTGTTGGGCCCGGCGACATAGAGGATGTCATAACCTCACCGACTGCGGTGGATCCAACCGAGCAAAGTTCTTCAAATCTAGCTACAATCTGAATATATAAGTAATCAATTTCCTTCCGCACATCTAACCTAACCTTACCGACTGAGGTGGATCCAACCGAGCAAAGTTCTTCAAATCTAGCTACAATCTGAATATATGTCATCAATTTCCTTCCGCACATCGTCCTGAGCTGCTAATTCAGAATCAGGCACTTGTGACATTATATGTATATGAACCGTTTTAAATTCATCCAAAGTATCTGCCAAAAATTTATATTTAATTTTGAACAGAGATAATTTTGAAATATCCGTGGCTGCAGCCTGAGCAAGATCATATGTTTCGTGAATCCGAGAAGTTAATAAATTTCGAATAGCTAATGTTTCCTTTTTTGGTGCCATACTAACGCGAATATTTTTTATTTATAACCTTTGAGGCGCTTTATTTTCCGCACGCCGCTGGTGGCAACCTAAATGCACCGAAACACTGAAAGCGATACAATATGGGTTTAATAGCAAACTGAACGAAGTGTGTCAGAGAAACAACGGCGAAAGGTCTCCGTTTTTCTGTGGTCACCCTGTATGTTTCAGTGAATGTGTTTTTTTCCGGCCTGTAATAGACGCTTTGCTACACAGAATATCAAGTTTATACTGTAGTTATTCGCAAAATAAATCCAGTCTGCTTCGACTATAGGCTATTTCGTTGTATTGCTTAGTGAATTGTTAATACCACAGGTGGCTGTGAATTAATCCGGAATCTAGAAGGACCACAATGTTTAGTACACGCTTCTTTGGGGTTGTAAATCCCAAAGACTTAAAATTGAATTTTAATGGCTGTGTACCAAACTCGGCAAACGACAAGAAATAGCCCTTTGAAACAAAGATGGATTTATTTCAATCTACCTATTTAACAAATTAACGCTATCTAATGATACACGATTAAGTAAAATGGCGGCTGCTGTTGTCCTCGGCTGGAGCTACAGGAATAATAGGTGCTAGGTGCAATTTTGATTTTATAGAAGAGATGGGATTACTTACAGTACATATCCGTTGAAGGGTAGTAGTAAGACCTGCTGGCGGCTGAAGTTTGACACCTGTACTGTTGGGGTTGGTGTTGGCGGAAATTCTAGGCTCCCTAACACTGGAGGTTTTCGATGTGGGAGCGTCGACGTGCACGTATACTCAAGACTGTTTTTTAGGAACTACCCTTAAGCTCGACCGACGCAGCTTGTCGGCGTACTGTCTTGGTAAGAGGGGAACAGGGTGCGGACGGTTGGTTTGGGTTCGGATTGGAATGCGGACAGGGTGAGCTTTGGGTTGCATACGGGTGAGGACTTAACANACCCCTTTTGATGATAAAAGAGTTGTAAATTATATCTATACAGATACATTACCATGGGGCTATCTCAATCAATAATCCACTTAATATATAATTAACCTTTGTTTTATTAACATACATAGAGGTCACACCTCCAAAGTATTTTAGATCAAATACCATCGCAATCATTGCAAAAAACTACTTTGAAATACATAAGAACTGTTCCTGACGCATGTGCTCCATTAAAAGCAACATCGAAAGCAGCTGGTTTTGATTTAAGTAGTATTTCAAGTTGTACAGTACCAGCAAGAGGTAAACTGTTAATAGATACAGGCCTTAAAATTCAGTTACCAGACGGGTGTTATGGAAGAATAGCACCTAGATCAGGATTGGCAGTAAAAAAATTTATAGATGTTGGAGGTATGTCTAGAAATTTATATACTAACAATAAAACTATATTTATATAAATTTATTTTTTAGCTGGAGTCATCGATCAAGATTATACCGGTGTGATTAAAGTGGTTTTATTTAATCACTCTGATGAGGATTTTCTTGTGAAGAAGGGTGATCGCATAGCTCAACTTATTTGTGAAAAAATATTTTACCCGGAATTAGAAGAAGTAGATGTGTTAGAAAAGAAAACAGAAAGAGGAGATGGCGGATTCGGATCAACGGCCTAAATTGTTGCAAGAAAATAAAATTAGTAGTACCACTGGTACAGATCCGCCAGCTGTGAATGGACCAAATTTGTATAAGTGTACTAGATGCCCTAGACGTTTTCAAAGTTTCACACCAACAAATTTATGTAGAAATTGTATGACGCCAGAACAATTACAGAGATTTTATAGACAACAATTACAAGGATTCAGAAGCGTATATCGATAAATTATATTTTTTATATAGAGACTAATAGAAATAATAATGTTTTTTTTTCTACCACTTCACTTAATTCACCATCATCATCATCATTACCTCCACCGCTACAAAAAATTAAGGGGGGCACTAATTACTGTGCAATGTGTAAAATTATGTTTTGTTTTTGTACAGCATCGGTCAACTTTCATACACGATTGTACAGTAGTAGTAGTAGAAAACGAAAATGTTCAATAGATTTAAAATGTTATGAAAATTTTCCTTCTAAATCATAATTGTAGTAATTTATGTATATTAAGAAATAAAATAAAACAATTTAATTGTAACATCTGGTTTATTATTTTTATTTAACACTTACAACATTCTAAATATATATAAAACATATCTTTTCTCTACTTGAAAGTTCTATAAAGTTTTGTTTGAAATCGTAAAGATTAAATTCTAAATTATGAAAAATAATGTATGTGCTATTTCCAAGTAATGTTTCTAAATTATATCCTCCACAATACAATATAGAATTTTTCCTCGGTTCTATAGGATACATATCATGGCTAACTACAAATCCAATGGTTTGATTATTTAAATTTCTTATTGTTGTATTAACGGCAAATTCTTTCCATCCGTTTTCTTGAGTAGCAGGGAAATAGACTGCAGGATACTCCATCAAGACTAAATTGTTTTTAGATTTCTCAAACAAATAAAAGGTTCCATCTTCTATCAAAATAGTATAATTCTCAATTTTTACAGCATTTCGTAAATAAATTGGATTTTCGATAGTCAAATTTAATTCAATGGGAAAATTATAATTCTCAATATTTATATCATCTCGTATGTACACTGTTCTACAAACACTGCAACTTATTGCATACGAAACCAAAATGAGTAGTAAAAACATTTTTTTTTTAATTTTAGAGTTGTTTACCAAACTAATGTTTGTCTATATATGAGTACATCAAGGCAACATATCACTTTTATAAATTTTTTAGATTCCCCCTCCTCTTTAAATTTTAAAAAAAATAAAACAATACATTTTTAAACTACTTTTTATTTTTATATCATATATATTTAATACAATAACATTACATTAAAACTACTTTTTATTAATATATTTTTTATACCATATACTTAATATAATAGCATTTTCATAAGCACAAGCTATATCATTAAAAAGATGATTTTTACAATGATAATGGTAGGGTTTAATATTCCTCCAATTACATGACAAGTCTCCATAAATTTGTTTTTTTAATGTTCTAAAATTTGGACAATTAAATTCGTCTACATTAATTATATTGTTGGAAATAAATTTACTTAAAACTTTCTTTTTGCTCAGTCCTTTAACGATTACATATGCTTCACCTACTATGTTTTTTATAAAGTCACTTAAATCTTCTAAATGCAGATCNTAAATACACCTCTGAAATTTGGAATTTCCAATGATTTAGCAAATTTGTCAATATCGATATTTGTTAAAGGTCGACGAGGAAGTGTCAACGGAAGCTGTTTGAAATTTGAGGTGGATCTAAAAAAAGCCCCAAACCACGTTTATAAGGTTTCAAGTAGGCACCTTTACCCATAGCTATAGCTTCCATTGATTTATTGTGACGTTGAGATTCATCTAATTGTTGTTTGGCTGCCTTAGCATCATTTAAAGCCTTTGCTATACCTGCAGCTCCTCCACTTAAAGCACCTAAAGCGCTAAGTCCCGCAAATATCGGTATTAGTGGTAATATTCCTCCTCTTTTTGGTACGTTTATGATACGAGAAGGTTTGATCTTTTTTTTAATCTTTTTTGCAGCCTTCAAAGCCACCTGAATTGCTCCTGCAACAGTTTTAGGTTTATGATGGCCAACACTTTTTCTAATTTGCTTAATTGCCTCCTTTAAAGCTACACCATTGGAATTTCCTTTCACTTTTTTTATAGATTTTCTTCTTCCTTTGTTACATTTTGTTTTTCTATTGATTTTACACATTTTTTTTTCTAGAGATATTTACTGTTTAACGTGTTTTTAAAAACTAGAAGTCATTACGAGTAACTATTACCATTTAAATAATTCTCGGTTTTTTGATGATTGGTTCTATTTGTAAACTATCATTACTATCAATATATTTACGTTTTCGATGCACTGGTAGAGGTTCATAATGATATAATTTTGATATTTTTTCAATAGGACCCTCATCATCATCATGATCTGCATTCCCTTGAATGATATGTAATTTTCTCTTCCTAGAAGGAAGTAGTTTACGTATTTTTTTTAAAGGATCTTCACCTTCCTTATTATTTAATTTTCTCTTTCTACTAGGTCGAGTATCTAATATTTTTCGTGTTTTTATTAAAGGATCATCACCGTCTTCTTTTTCTAATTTTCTTTTTCTACTAGATCTAGTATCTTTTAATTTACGTATTTTTTTAAAAGGATCATCATCATCATCATCATGTTTCTCAATATTTAACTTTCTCTTTCTAAAAGATCTAATATCTATTTTACGTGATTTCTTAAAAGGCTCCTCCTCCTCCTCCTCCTCACCATCAAAATCGAGTTTTCTCTTTTTTCTCTTCATCTTCATTATTTTGTTTACTGTAGTTTTATTTAACTTTTTCATTCTGGACACACTGTTTTTACTTAAATTTCGTTTTCTATCAACTTTACTATTTTTTGTTTTACGTGTCTTTTTAAAAGGACTATAATTTTTTATGTCTGTATGTTTATTATTGAATATATGTTTCTTTTTAACCTTTTTGTTTTATTCGGTTTTTTTCTTTTCAAATTTTTAACACCTGTTTGTTGAAAATGTTGCATTGTATCTAGAGATGTGTTAATATTTTGTAAAGATTTTTCCGTTGAATTCTTAACTTTTACCATTGACTTTACACAATTATTCATAATATTTGAGGTTTTTTCTTCTNTGGGTATTCGTATTTCATCATTGTTATTATAACTTGTTGATGCATAGGGTTGATGGGTATGATATTCCAATTTGATACTCTCACCTGTTCTTAAATATTTAAAATATTAAAACTCATATTGTTCTTCTTCGTTTTTTTTATATCGACAGTTGCACCTTACAAATATGATAAACTTTCTTATATTTACACTAATCCTCAACTTAAAACTGTACCAAAAATTTCTAAGTAATTTGCTAATAATGTCTTTTTAACTTAAATCCTAATAATTGTAAAAATTTTTTGTTGCGAGGTATTAATCGTTTCACGTGTTTTTAAAAACTAGAAGTCATTACGAGTAACTATTACCATTTAAATAATTCTCGGTTTTTTGATGATTGGTTCTATTTGTAAACTATCATTACTATCAATATATTTACGTTTTCGATGCACTGGTAGAGGTTCATAATGATATAATTTTGATATTTTTTCAATAGGACCCTCATCATCATCATGATCTGCATTCCCTTGAATGATATGTAATTTTCTCTTCCTAGAAGGAAGTAGTTTACGTATTTTTTTTAAAGGATCTTCACCTTCCTTATTATTTAATTTTCTCTTTCTACTAGGTCGAGTATCTAATATTTTTCGTGTTTTTATTAAAGGATCATCACCGTCTTCTTTTTCTAATTTTCTTTTTCTACTAGATCTAGTATCTTTTAATTTACGTATTTTTTTAAAAGGATCATCATCATCATCATCATGTTTCTCAATATTTAACTTTCTCTTTCTAAAAGATCTAATATCTATTTTACGTGATTTCTTAAAAGGCTCCTCCTCCTCCTCCTCACCATCAAAATCGAGTTTTCTCTTTTTTCTCTTCATCTTCATTATTTTGTTTACTGTAGTTTTATTTAACTTTTTCATTCTGGACACACTGTTTTTACTTAAATTTCGTTTTCTATCAACTTTACTATTTTTTGTTTTACGTGTCTTTTTAAAAGGACTATAATTTTTTATGTCTGATTTTCTTTTTCTAGAAAATTTAATACTACTTCTGTTATCGTTATTATTATCATTATCATTATGGGATTCTATCTTGTTATATGTCAGTGAAGGTTGTTGTTGTTGTTGTTGTTGTTGTAAATTTTGTGTATGATTTTCATTAAAATCCACAATTCCACTATTGATTGAATATATGTTTCTTTTTAACCTTTTTGTTTTATTCAGTTTTTTTCTTTTCAGATTTTTAACACCTGTTTGTTGAAATTGTTGCATTGTATCTAGACATGTGTTAATATTTTGTAAAGATTTTTCCGTTGAATTCTTAACTTTTACCATTGACTTTACACAATTATTCATAATATTTGAGGTTTTTTCTTCTTCTTCTTTATCATATGCCATACCAAGTTTCACTTTAGCTTTCATAGCTCCAGCAACTCCTAGTGCAGCTAATTTCTCCTTCCAAGATGCATCTTCTGCTTTAAATCTCATTAAGGCATTTTGCTCTAAAATTTTATCAGCAGCATGACGACTTTTAAGATCCTTACTATCGGCATAGCTTATATCATGTTTTTTACACGCGTCATCCAAACCGTTTATGCCTTTATTACCACGAGCCAACATTTTATCCAATTTTGTACCTATGTATATGAAAATAATAGGAATTTAAATATTTTCTAAAAATAATACATACCTGGACCACAAAAGTTGTATGATGGGATATGAAGTTCAAAGGGTAATTTATTTATTGCTGAATTTATGAGACTTCCCTTTCCAGATTTAACATTTCCTACATAGTATTTCATCTTAATATTAGAAATTGAATGAATATAAATAACTTCTGCAACTAATTTTATATTTATTTTTCATATAACAACTGTTTGATAGCAATAGCAATATAAATTTAGAAATTATGAGAGTGAAAAAAAGAAAAATCCATAAAAATGTAGTGAATAGATTGGTGAAGATAGACAGACAAAAAGTTAAATTACAAGTCAACAATCATGATTTACTATTTCGAAAAAAACAACAGACGAAACATAGTGTTTTGCTACCTAACACAATGAGATGTATAATTACCGGTCCATCAAATTGTGGTAAAACTAATGTAATAATCACCTTATTAGAACATGAAAATGGACTGAAATTTGAAAACGTGTATGTTTACTCAAAATCTCTAAATCAAGATAAATATGTATATCTAAGAGATGTATTATTAGGCCCCATAAAAACTATAAATTGTTTTCATTTTGATAATAGTGAAGACATTTTAGAACCATCTAAGACTAAACAAAACTCTGTGTTTATATTTGATGAC